GAGTCGATCCTGCCAGTACCGCGATAGGATGGCGTGAATCGACAGCTGAGACGAGATGCAAAAAAGGCGATGAGAATGTTGGTGGTGCAAAGAGCCGGCTTCATTGATAGGGCAGCTAGGAAGCGTAGACGCAGTGATACGCGATATTGCTTTGGGTCGAGTGCCTTGTGCCACGCCACCTGGAAAGCTCCCACCACCAAAATGGGATAGAGGAAGGCGAACAATAACTCGCTCCATATGGAGACGGAACAAAGTGCATCCAAAGCACCTAAGGGCAAGCCATAGCCGACGAACACAGGCCAGTAGGAAATAACTTGCGTGAGGAGAAGTTCCGCTGTGACATCTAAGGTAGGAGAGTTGTAAGAAGGTAATCCACACTCGCATTTTATCTTTAAGCGAACATGCCGATGTATATAAGCATGGAAGTTTAGGTGTATTTTTTTAATGTGCATCAGCAACGCTGTTATTGCACAATTAATATATCTTTGCAAACCTCTTTGTGGAATATTACAAAAGATTATTCTTGTTTTGCATCGCTAAGTGTCCAAATTAGCACTGCTTTTTGAATGTAGCTTACTTGCTGTCTGCCGAGCATAGTATTCAAATGCATAGCAGGCGTAGGTGAAACCCAGGGTAACTGAGTGAATGAAGATCTTGACAAGGGAAGGTGGCATGAGGATTGTAAGGAGGATCCACTGAAATAAAAATACAATTTCGAATACATCCCATCTTACACAGGATGACTTGATGGATTTGAATACTCCTTGCTGCTCTAAACAGATTATCCGGAAGGAAACCCCTTTTTATTCTGTTGTTATTCTTAATCTTAGCAATAAGTTGGGGCTTATAGAAACGCTAGCATGAAGAGACTTTCGTGGGTAGGCTATAGGTTGAGGAATTCTCTCTTGTCCTTGGTCACTATGCCTCTGTTTACCACTTTCAGTTTAAGGGAGTTTGCAAATAGCCTAGCTTTCCAGCTACCTATGTGATTGTTTTCGTCGAGTGTTCAAATGTGCTTAAAAAACGCCCATTATAGCGAAAACCTCACCTGCCCACGATATATGAGGAAAAAGACCATGGAGTAGACACAGTCCATTAACTGTTTGCCGACGCCGTAGGAGGGGACGGCTGCAACGGCAAAGTACGTTTCATTTGGACTCCGAAATGCTGAGTATTCTTGACGCTTGCTCCCACTCTCACCACTCCGACAGCCTATTGGGAAACGCTGCTGTCGAACGGTGGCTATCGCATCGCATATTTTCTATGTTAATGAGTTAAAGAACTTATTATATAGCATTGGTGCAGTCAACGCCAAGCAATGGAACATAATTTTCCACGTTATTCATATCGTTTGAAGCGTGCTATGCCTCTAATGTCAATACGAATGCAGTTCAGACTGCCTTATGGACAAATGGCATTATTCAGTTCTGACAGTCGGAAAACATGCAATTCGAGTGTAAGTTCTCAAGTGGATGAATGGTCGACGAAGTGCAATTTTGTGTCGTAAATGAAATTATTGCAATTTTCATTCCATAAATCAACGATCTTGACCAACATCCCCTTAAAAATTGCTCGTGCAACCGCAACCTTACCCTGCAGAAAGCAGCGGATTAAGGATAATGCTTGTTTCGGTGAAATACACTTCTTACTTGCCAATTAGAAGGCAAGATGGGGATAACTGTTACAGGAGTTGGCACCCAGGACAAATGCATCCAAACTCTTTTCTAAAAAAAGCAATAACCCATTTCTGGCACAGCCCCGTGTGCTCACATGGAATGGGTCTACAAACGGGAATGCCGGTTAGCTAATATTACCATGGCTGCAACCGCGAAGATGATGTTCGAGGCAGCAATGAGCTTTGAACCGAATTTAAAAAATGGTAAATAGTAATTGGAAATTTAAGCCACTTCTTGCCTATCAAGATAGCAAACGCCCATCGCATATTCAAATGGCCGCTGCGGAGGAAAAAGTAAAAGTAACTTTGGTGTTGACTAAAGAGCTTAAGAAATCAGTAGTGAAACGGCAGATGTGGTGCAGCATTCAAGCAATCTGCAAAATCGCTAGTGGTAGTAGGGACTTAGGGTGGCTAATTTGTCCCACCTACGCATGCACAGACGACTTTTCCCAGCGAGCAGCCGGACGCCAAATGTCTACTCGTTCTATGCATTTTTGCTGCGAGAAAACTTCACAGCGTTCAACAACCACTTAGTTAACGAGCAAACATTCTAATTTTGAAGGCGGTTATAAACAGGAGGCGATAGCCGGAGCTTGTTGAGAAAAACGTTAAAATGAAAGTAAAAACTCGCAGCAATTGCACAATCTTTTTCAGGGTTATTTTGGCATCTGAAGAGGTGGAGACTAACAAAAACAGCAGACGTAAGAGGAAAATATGAAAAGTTTGTTGCATTAAAATTGATGAACTAAAAATTTCAAATTTGCACGTTTAATCGCAATCGGACAGATGAAGCATGAGGCGCCCAATTTTAAAGCGAAAACTTCGAACATTTTGCATTCGTACAGAGTAAAATTGAATTGAGCATTTACGCTCAAAAGAAACTGCAGGATGGAGATTATTTAGAGGTGGTCCTGTGTATCTCACCTTAATTCGTGCCGATAGCAATGGAACAAGATTTGAGAAGAGGGGGTAAGGCGCCTACAATTACACCTTAAGGTGTGCGCTGTGGATGCCACTAGGCAAACCTACTTATAAAACTAGGCCATAGGCAAGAAGTAGGTACTTGAGGAGGGACAAAGTGCTTAGCATCGCTAACATTTAAGCTGTGCTTAATAAGTAGACAGGGGATACGGCTACGAGAGTAAAACAGTGTAGTATGACTAACTAATACATGAAGCAACTATTACTTTCACTTAAAGCAAAAGTGGTAGTAACTGTACATTACATTCCCGCCATTTGAAATGGACTCGAAACCACATCGCAGTTGAATTGACAAACTATACTTTAGCTCTTTTACTAGCAAAAGGATTTGCTAGTTGTCTACCCTAAAGCGGCACTAGCGAGGAGCGCTGGATATCGGTTTTAAGAACAACTGCCGTACAATGAACAGTTCCGTGCCTGCCACTAAAAGGTCGAACGTAAAAAAGGTTGAGACGTTGTGGTGTAGGAAACAAGTGGGTTTAAGGAAATGCGTATAAAAAGAAGTCTCAAAACAATAACTAAATAAATTTTTTCTAAATTTCAAATAATCGCATTTAAGTTCTCTATTTCAATCAGACTTTTGATTTGTAATCAAAAGCGCAATACACAAAGAAGTTGCCGTCTGTGTTGTTGATATAACAGCGACCCTAAATTTCTTTCTAACTGGTTTCAATAGTACAAAAACCTCATACAATTGTGCATGAAACGCAAAAAGAAGCATCTACGGCTAAGGCAAAAAAGTTCAAATTTTACATTCCAATCCAGTAAGGCATTGTGACATTTGCTATTTTGAGGTGCGCAACGTAACGTAGCTCTCGAAATGATCACATGGAAAAGACAAACCTTTATGTGCACGAGGGAGACTATCGTCGTCAATGTGAAGGTGAGGCCTCCCACAAGACAGGTTCCAAAGGTACATATGCACCGTACGATTAAAAAACGCCAAAACCATTGTCCTACAACAAACAACATGCAAATAATGCAAAATTCACGAAGAGCTAGTAATAAATCTTTTAAACTTTGACGCCCATTTCATCGCCTTGCTGAAGAAAAATTACAGCGCTTTTGGACAGCAATCCAAGCAATACCTAGAGTTGCTTCAATAGGCGAGCACAAAACAGCAAGGAAATATCTCACCAAAATAGAAGTCTTTGTGGGGTTACCCTTTTTTCACTAGAGTTCTTGATTCGCGAAACTGCATAAGAAACTAAAGACCGATGGAAGCACGGATAAAAATTCATTTCTAAAGAAGGAATCAAAGGCAATTGAAGACTCATGCTATAAAAACTTCCTTTAACCAAACGTTGACCTTAACATCCATATTCCACACTCAAAAGGTAACCCAAAAGGCTCAAACTAACCATAAATCGGATCGGAAGTTAAAATACCACCGATTGCCTTTATGTTATCAGTTGTGCAGCGAGAAAAGTCATCTTCAGCTGTATGCAACTCTGCTATACGCAAAAGCATACCTCGATAAGATTGCTAGTCTAGGGAACGGATTTTGTCATACGTAGCTTCAGCATCTCGCTTATTGAAAAGATTTTAAGCCATTGATAATATGTCTCAACCAACAAAATCCAGCAGTCAACAAAGGGAAAATGAGGGATAATGGCCGTACCTATTGCACTCTGCCAAATCGAAGAGAAGGCGTTGGAGCACAGCCACAAGGCCTAAGAAGTATAAATAGCGCATGCTTGACAAAATACATAAAGCAAATGTCTTCAGGATGAGATTGCGAGAACAAATAGAGTCACAAAATGTGAATATGGCTGATACAGTAGGGTGGCACTAATAAAAGAACTTATTTTCAGACGTCTTATGTATATAGCTAGTAGGAAATGCCTGAAGGTAACAGAACTTATTGGGAACACACTGATCCTCAAGTCCTTTCAGAGACGAAAATACCCAGACATGTCCTTGCCGAAGAAAATGGCAGCCTTCTGCTTTGCCTTAATAATATGCATAAAACACGGACTGCAAGTTCCAGATTTTGCAATCGCGCATAGGCGGTTGCTAACACCGTAATAGCGAACCTACTTTTTTGCAGGACTTATCTCACTGAATGTTACTAAGATGCTCTGAGGCACTTGACCAGGTCACTTACTGCAACGGCATACGAATAAGTTTCGCGAAAATCGAATGTTTGACATATGAAACGCACCATTCTCCTTCTCGCAGTGCGATACGAATGGGAAGCTGATTGGATGAGTTGTAAGTGGTAGTGCACGTACTGTTTTTTCCGACCAACTTATCGCAAACATTACCTCACTAATACCTCCCGTTAGTCAAACAAACCTCTGGGATCCATTAGCGTGCCTAATTCCACTCTGCTTATTTTTTCCGCCACAAATTAGAAGAAACGAACTACAAGTTTGGGATCCTTACAAAGATACAACGGTGGTTTGCTCCTCAAATTCAGATCTAATTTACTAATATGACCCACTATGGAGACGTGAAGCACTCCGCGCGAACATTATCATCGTTATTGATAGTTTAAATCTTGGGGGCGAACAGAAATGTTTCCGTTCCATTGCCAACCAATATCAAACGACTGTTCAATTCTAAATAGTAGAAGAGCGACTTCATGAAAGTGAAAGGGCATAGCTAAGGCTTGGGTAAAAAGCTTAAATAGTCTAAATAACAGCAACAAACAGCAATTCTTAATACTAAGCAACGAAGGAAAAGTGGCTGCAAACAATGTTACAGGAAGTCCAAAAACGAATTAAATAATCATAAAAGGCATTTACAAAAACCACCAGAACGTTGAGGAGCCATATTAGACCGAAAAGATTCAGGATGTCAACGTATGGGTAGGCCAAGGACGAATGCTCGAGGGTCGAACGATGGGAACTTGCAGTGATCTCTGAAGGAGACCCTCGTTTTCCCCCCATAGCGGCCGATATTTTTTCTCTGCGGAGCGCTTGATCATGATAAGGCTGCATTAGAGAATTGGAGACTAAGCCCCTGTTCCTTGAAGAGGAAGAAGCATTTTTTATCTGTTTGTGCAAACGCCAAAGACCAAGAGGTACGCGGCAGAACTCTCGCAAACCAAAGAGACAACCAGATACCGTCGCTGACATCTGGTTTCCTCTAAATGAAAATGGGAAATGGTGGAGAAAAGCACCTAAGCCGTTGCATTGGTGAAGTGAAAAAGTTTTCAAGACAAGAATGGCAAAACTGTCACAAAGTGCAAAGGCACATATGTTATCCAATTCAAGAACGTAGAGATGGCGCGATTGGCTGGCTCGTACAGCACATATGACCGGTTAAAAACCTCTAACAAACTGGAAGGATCATTTTGACATGACTGCCTGGAGTAAATCCCAAACACTAAGGACACATCTGTTGAACTTCGAAGGCAACACTATAGGCCAGAATTTTAATTCAATAGTTTTAAAGAAAGTGCAAAATAGCATAAAGACAGTAAACCCAAAAATGCCTCTAGAACAGATTTACCGTCTAGGCGTCCATCTTAAGAACATTTAAAAGCATTATTTTGTTCAGTTTTCAGAATGCAATACAAGTGTTAGATGGTAGAGGACTACATGAAACAAGAGTTAAGCGGGAACAAATGCAACAAGTTTCTACTTAGAGGGGCAAATAGATTACCAAATTCAAATTTCCACTTTAATTGTACAGCTTAACACAGTCAAAAAATCATTGCTTAGGCTATTTGCAATATTTGGTTTACTTGACCTCGCTCTATGGAATCATTTATAACAATGATTCAGGTCAAAAATTTTACTGTACCAAAAATAGCTTTGAGTAAAACCATATGAGAAGTGGGACAGATTCATACGCTCATTCGACATAAAATGTATTTAATACTGAAAAGTTTATATAAGTCAATGCAACCAAAGGCCGTGCCAATCACGGTAGTAGGGACAACGAGTCCTAGAAAACGACAAATGCAGCAAAATTCATGAAATTCGAAACAAGCCAAAATAATTAAAAGCATGAGCTCCTGCCTGTTTACCAATATTGAACCAATGCAAGGAGGCTCGCTCAGTATCACACAAACAGCCATACAAACAGATCGCATCGGTGAAAAGGAATCAGTGAGATAACATTTTTGATGTATTTACACAACATTGAAAGGCGATTTGTATCACATCCAGACTTCAGCTTGGTATCTCCCTGAGCTCTCAAGATTGCTAACAAACGACTCAGCTTCATATTGAGACAGCCCACCGCTCCTTTGTGCTGCCTCGATGATGGCCTCACGAACCGCAGTTGGCATGTTTTTCGCATTGCCTGCAATGAACACGCTGCCCTGAGCCTCGCCCAACACCGACCACACCAAATCGGAGTTTTCGCGAATTCGGTGCTGCACATAAGTGCGATTTTTAGCTGTTGTAAGGCGCCCTCCCTCGCGTGAAAAGGCCGTCACCAGCTTCAGACAGCCCATCGCCTCCAAGGCCCGCCACTCCTCTTCGAAGTAGAAATCACGGTGGGAGAAGCGACATCCAAAAAAGAGGACATTAAAGGCTTCCGACGAGGATTTATGCTGGTATTGTATGAAGGCACGGAAGGGAGCCACACCGGTGCCGGGTCCCACAAGGATGCACGGAGGAGGCCGCGGAACAGATGAAAGATGGTAAGAGAAATCAAAACCATAGGAGGGACGGGAGATCCAAGCTGACACGCGTGTGCCAACCTTACTACGTGCCAAATAGGTCGATGCTAAGCCCCGTCTTGGGGTTAGCATTCGCGTTCGGTAAGTCACTACGGCAACGAGCAGTTCGACAGTGGGTGAGGCGGAAGCAATGGAATAAGGTCGCGAGAGTGGAGGCCCGGGAAGAATATTTATCCATTGTTCGGCGGGGATAAAGGATGTGGTACAAGGGAAATCCCCAAGGACCTCAATGAGATTTCTGCGGGGCCGATTCACGTAATCGTAGAAGTCGTCTACGGCGTCAGGAGTGCAGGCCTGGCCGAGTTCCTTCAACCGGTCATACTCCATTGCAACGCGTTCATCGTTTTTAGTTCCCGTTGGCCGCCATTTATGGGCAGCAGCAAATTCCGAGAAGAAGGTTCGCGTAGGAATAGAGTTGAGGTCGAAGTAGTGCGCGGCAAGCCAGGCGAGAGAGATGCCATCGGACGCGCAGACTTGCTGGAGGCGACCAGGCAGTGTGAAAGAGACAATATGTTGGCCTGGATGTAGCTCCTTCGTCAACGTTCGGATAGAGATGCGTACATTAGGATCGAGACCAGTGACTTTGAAAAAGCCTAACACATCTTCTGGAAGGTTTCTAGGTTGCACTCGTAGGACACAGCCCGGAAGGAAGTCAATCGGCAAATCCTTATTCTAGAATAATGAGATCGACTTGATCAAAACGCTTGTTTGAATGCCAGTGAAGACCAGTCAACGCTTTGCATTAAACTTCGTTCCTGCTAATAGTGGCACATAAAAGCGCATTCGGTGCTGACTAACGGAAATAGATCAGACATTGGACATGAAAATGGGAAACTGCATCCTGTCTTCCAAGTATTTAAAGCACGTAGTTGTGGCAGTTCTTCAACATATCACTTATTTCAGCAATGAAACCTTGAGCTCACAATTAAATAAGTTGAAGACATGACCAGACAAACCACAAGATGACTGTGGAATAAAGCAATAAGTGATAGCTAAAAAGCTGTCTCATCGCGGTGAAAAATCCCAATCCACAGGACTCAACTATCTAAGCTGTTTTATACAAATGAATCAAGTGTTATTTATGGATATAAACCTCAAATATTGGTAAATAATAGGCTTATTCAAGAATAGAAAAATTTCGTATTCAACACACTACCTCATTAACTATGGACCAATTCAGTGCTGCTTTATGTGGGAGAAGAAATGAAATGGGAATAAATAAGCACTACAGAATAAAACAGCAGCATGTAGTTTCACACCTGTTGGATTAATTCAAATGAGAGCAGTATTAGATGGATGTAAAGATTCTCCATAGGTGTAGGAAATAATAAATACAAGTCTTAAAGGGTGATGTGTCAGAAAAAAACATCTGTCTACAGTTACCAAAGTTCCAAAGGATCGATAGCAAAATAAATTGGGGTTCTTGGACCAATGAAATGCCAAGGGCGATTAGAAAGAACAATTACCTCAGCCTCCAGTTTAATAAGTCGTGTATCCTGATAATAATTATTCGGAGTTATGCGTTCATTGGCTTTGATCACAAACCAAGCTGCAGCTGACGGCATTGCAGGTGTCTTAAAAAGAGCATCATCTCTGGCTACCGTTGTCTCTATTATGTCTGTAAGCACCTCCTCATTACGATAATGATTGCCATTGATAAGATTAAGCTCGCCACACTCAATCTTCCGGACTCGACGTGCCAAAAATCTTGGCTGCAAAGTGGCAATGAATTCCGATGATTCTAGGGCATCCCATGTGATTGGAAAAGCAAGAGAACCAATGGGTTGCACAGAGTCAGAATAGTGATTAAGTATAGTGTTCCACAAAGAAGGCATAAAACGCTGGAGGCAGGCCACAAGACCTTCAGCTGCAGACTCATCGGCCAGGCCTAATCCAATATCCTGTTCAGCATCAGCCAACGCCATAGAAACAGGAAGAGGAGAAGCTCCCAAATGGACCATGCGTCGATAAAGCTTTTTCGCTACATAATTGTAATGCTTATAGGAGGAATCTCCAACACCGAGAACAACAAACCGAAGGGAAGTGGGGAAGGTCCTGCCCTCAGGAAGACGAACATTCATGAGTTTGCGCCAAAATGTAGCCATGTTGTCAGGAGGATCACCACAACCGGTGGTGGAGCAGACAAAAATTACCGGACCAGGTTCGTGTGCCAGTTGCTGCAGAGGCGTATAGTCGTTTGCGCAACATAGGTGAATGAGCGACGTGGGACAGTCAGCTGGATAGTTACGCAGCCGAAGCAACTTACAGCATTGCAAAGCAAGCCTATCTGCAATGCCACGAGCAGTACCGGTCTGACTTCCGTAGATTATCACAATTCGAAAGGATGGACCCATGTTGGCAAAAAGTCCCACACTGAAGGAGCTAATGCGAGATTCTAAAAGTAGGCAGCACGGTTAAGCATCAAAACAAGAACTGTCTAAAAAAAACGGCAAATGCTGTGCAAGAAGTATTCCATTTGCGTATGCAATTTTCCATCAATCGCTTTCTGTTTAATATTCATCGTTTCTTAAATGCGAATCGGATATCTCAAATTACCCATTGCTTTGAATCATCTTACTTTGTGGATGTCAACCTCACCACAAAAAAACAGCCGAGAGTGTGCAAAACGTACTCCATTAACCTTCTACGTTATTGAAATAATGTAGGTCCCATCTGTCCAGTCAACTTCCACTCATATCTTCTTATACCATCAACTAAATGATTGCCTTACATGTGGTATCGCAGAATGTAAATGCTGCAGGAAGGGGGCCTTACAAGACTGCACAGAAGTATCTATTGTGCTCTCCGAATGAAGGCAGAATGGAAGATGCGTGCGATTACAAAACTTAACCTGCCCTATTAAACGAAAGTAACAAACAAACTAAACTCAAAAACTAGTAGGATAAGAGGCACGAACAGAACACGAAGAACCAATGAGAACTATGAATCAAAGGTAATATGGGTTAAAGCGCTTTACCTAAATATCATCATTATTATGTGAATACTATAGTTCCTAATTTTAATATTGGATGTAAAAGCTTGAAGCACATATAAAAAAAATAGTTACACTTTCATAGAGCGTCAAATGTGTATTGACATTGGTGCTCGGCGGTTTTGTACTGTACACCGGCTATAGCAGCCCAAACAGTTGATACGTCTAATCACAAGGGCGTATAGGATGGGCTTTTACTTCAGTAATTCGCATTATTTATCCGTTAGATAATCACAGGCATTTTAATCGGCATGAACATTAGCCCTTAATTCTCGTATGTGTAGGCCTGCGAGGGGTTGTTGGGCCCTTAATGAATTCAAATAATTTGTACCCAGCTTATAATTCAATGATATGAGGTGGTTTATACTAACAGTTTTCAAGTAAGTTGTTCGTCTGCTACGTCATTCCATACACTGGCATCAATAATGAATTTGATGCGTCCACAATGTCTTATGGCCTTAACTTTTCACCTTTTGGTGCACCTTTTAGGTGAGAGGTAAGCTTTGCATATATCTCCCACTTAACCATCTTAGTTCTAAAGCAAATTGGGAGTTGTGCATCGAAAAAGCGTGCATTATCGAACTTTTCTGGGATATGTCGTGTAATACGCCTCTAAACTACAGTCTGGCACTTGTACTGTAGAGCTTCGAGACTTTCACGTTAGGCGGAATGCATGCATTGTAAGTGGAAATTATGGGTAAGGACTTTGCCTTTAAGAACAGAACTAATACCAAAGTAACCATCGGGCATCGAGTGGTGACATAAACAATGCATTACATGTATAATTAACTTTATTTGTGATTTTCTTAGCTCTGGTTTTAAATTTTGGGTGAGTTTTCCTAACTATTTTCGTGATTGGTTCCCTAAGGAATTTGCGTATGCAATTTTCCATCAATCGCTTTCTGCTTAATATTCATCGTTTCTTAAATGCAAATCGGATGTCTGAAATTATCCATTGCTTTGAATCATCTTACTTTGTGGATGTCAACCTTACCAGACGCAAAATGCACGTTTAGGTACCTTTTAAGTGTTCATTCGACGACAGATATTCTAAGTAAATGCGATCATTTTTATTGCAAAATTAGGTAGCTGTCTAGCACTAGTCAAGACCACTTGTTTTTTTGTCGCCCTCGACGCCAGATCTTTGCCCCCCAACTGTCCGAGCAACTTAGTGTTCACCTGGATTTGCATTGAATTTTTCTGTCCTTGTTGGCGTACGTGAGGTCCAATGAGTGAAGCCCGTTTTTCATATTAGTATTGACAGTTGAGAATTGGTAATTAAATTACACGTGTTTGCAAGGATGAACCTCACACCCGTCAATCATGACTTTAATGTACTTACGTGACTCCATTCTCAAACGCATTATGGCGCTGATGATTGCGCCTTGTTGGTTCAGAGGTCTTTTGGAATTCCAAACGGTGGGACTGATTAGGTCTGCTGGCGGTAAAAAGGGATGGCCTGCGTTGATTCTAGTGTACTACACTAGCGGTAAAGAGGGGATAGGCCATTTTAGTTGGGTTCTATTGTCAAAATCTGTTGGCTTGAGTTAAATTCGAAGCGATGTTGAAAGTGTCTGGTACATTGTCATTTCTGGGATCACTCATAATCGATCTGATAAAGTGGGTATTTGGTAGCTTGGACTCGGCAAGTACTCTCACGCTGTACGTTTCCAAATTGGTTCCTCTCCTGTGTGGGACTGAATGCAAACATTTTCGCCACTGTTACCTCCTTTTTATATCAGGGGAACATGCAAATGTTTCAAACTGAAATTGCCTGTCTGAACATCTTGATCTAAACTGTTAGGTGAAATGGTAGGCATTCCAGCAAAATACCTTGGAAAATATCGCACAAGCACATTTTGCCGCAATAACTTTTTAAAGGGCACAGGATAAAAGCATACAGCCATCTGAGATTCAGCTCATTTATGAGCTGAGAAGTTTTTGTCGTTTGATGATGCTCCGCACACGCTTCCTCGAAATGTATTCCACGTTGATGCAACCGAAACAAACTTGGGGGATGCTGGCAGCATTGCTCCTTACGGCAAACCGTGTGTTATATCCTCGAGTTCTAGTTGTGGTTGTTTAACTTTGTGCCCGTACCGGCTCGTTAATTCAGTGGAACCAGCTAGAGAATGGGGTACAACATGCTAATTCAAGTGAGTACCTATCTCCACCCTCTATTTCATGCATTCCACTTCAAAAACCCCTTCATATCACCTAATCCGTTAATGACGTGTTTTGATCAAATTTTTTTATATGTATTGATTCTATTGCAATGCAATATAATCTGAATAAACTTATAGCTCTCTTACTGCCACCACTCAGTCTATCATTAGTGTGTAAGGGGTTAATTTTTAAGGTAAGGACTGTTTTAAGCAACGAATAAAATCACTTTAAAACATGCACTATTAAGACAACCTGACGATAATGTTGTTTACTGTTGGGGTGGATGTGAGTGCTCTTTCTAGTCATGGTCGGGACCAGAAGGACCCCTCATTATCCATGCACAAGAAAGGGCCTCACGGCCACTCTGCCAACACGCCTCCATCATCACGAGAAGTCCTCGGAGCACCAGTGTGTCTCAGGTGGCAAATGCGTACGTGTGTTTCTAAGAGCACTGAAACCAGGTTTTCACCCACCTACACGTATGCATGCGCGTGTAGGTGCGCGCCTGCCCTCCTACAAACAAAAGTGTACCACCCGCATTTGGGGGTCTCACTGCCTTCCTAGAAGAAGCCACAGTCTGAGAAGAAGACTGCGCCAAGATCGCGCTCCTATTGGCTACTTCCATTGAACGGTGTGAAGCACACACCCACACGTGCGTGTATGCAGGAGTGTGCAACATGGTATTCAGGCGAGCAGTGACAAGTTTGTGCATGCTTAGGGCTGCACACACTGATTACCACACACAGCATCTACTCAACAATTTTTGGTGGTCTCGATAATAAAAACACCTACTTCACGACATATCCAACTGAATGCAAGGTTCTATTCATGCCCAACGTTGGTGAAAATGTAACATCACGATTGCACCGAATGTTTTTTTAGAATACGTCTTTTCTGTCTCGCAACTCGTGTCTAAGGCTCTCATGTCTGAGGGGATTGCATGAAGAAATTACTCAGACATAATCCCTCATAGGAGTCTAAAGCCTACATTTCATTTCCAGAATCGTCAGCAGTGAGAAAAGTGTAGTGGGCGAAGCAGGAGGCGTTCCAAAATGGATGGCGCCATCTCGCTGTTAGTTGGATCTTACCATTGCAGCTGCAGATTTTCGCATACAAAGGGTAGTTAAATTCTGAAGAATGCAAGCCAGCCAGTAATAGAAACTTATAGCTGAAATTTTCTCACTGATTTAACAAAGTGATTATTTTCCTTAGCTGTGGGATGCTTGCGATGAGTGAGATTTACTTTTGGAATATGTTCAAAGGTAGCAGCCTTTTGTGCACGAAAATATTAAACTTACGCCCTGGAAACATCCAGGGGATCTTCATTGAGGCTATGGAGGTGAATTTTCCTTACGGAAGCTGTGGTCTAAACGCCCAAAATCGATACAAAGACCAAACTTGATTCAAATCCAAGCACTGTTTTATCTGCGAATTATTCAGAAGGGGCTTCCAGGCCTTCTGAAATCTGGGTTAGTTTCAGCTGCATTGTCCAAAGACTTCCCACCAAGTAGAAGACGGTAATAAATGGAAGTAAATGCATATATTTAGGAGAAAAGGGAGAGATTGGACTTTGGCTTGGTTCGAAGGCCAGCTTCCGCTTACGAGAGCCAGAGAGGAATCAAAGCTGCCGCCAGACATGCAGATGGCCACACAAACAAAGTATTACGGTCGTCACCTGACCGAAAAACAAACCTTTTCACATCAATGGTAGAAGGACGGTGTAGTGTCACGAATTCCTACTAGACTCCAAATCACATTGACATTGAGCTGATTTGCCATAGAGACAACTGTTAATGTAGCAGTAT